CAGTCAGTTGATGCGTGTGCGTGCCGCACCAAAGCAACACGCATCAGCATTTTTACTGAGATCTCTGTGTTCAGCACAATGTGTTGTAACATGAACGGAGCACACGGTTACCTATGGAATTTCACTTACTGCTCGTGAATGCTGTAGTGGTAATGATGCCGCGAGCGTGCCGTTGACGTGAAGAGGAACGTGTATCCGTTCCACTGCGTCACAACCGTTGGATTCCCATCAACAAACTCTTCAGGTTAAATCTTATTCGTGATGCCTCTTGCTTACGGCTCTCTCTTGCTTGCCACTGTGATGGAAGCAGCTCTAGGACTACCTGATATCCCTTTCCAGGTTACTGCTGACTATCCACACGGTTGTTATAGAGGTCCAGGTCCAGGGGAGTGGAGTATAATTCGCGATATGCCTTCGTCTTCCTGCATTTACAACATGAAGGGATATACATTCAATGGAGTTTATAGAGAGGTTGCCGGGATCATACTCAACACCACCAGGCCTGGGCATCATGGCAGCTTGCATATGATCCTCAATCTGTCCACCGTGCCCGGCACCTCAAAGTATGATGTCCTAGTGAGAACGGAGGGTTGGGCTCACTTGAGTGTTGGTGATAAAAGCAAAGACTTCTGGTGGAACCCAAGCCCAGGTGAGCACATCTACGGTCCAGAGCATGGTGAAGTGTCTGCCCGAGTCGCAACTATCGACTCTGGTACTCCCTCTACCAACGTGAGCATTTGGAGCTCATGGGATACTCTAACTGGTAAAGCACACGGCGACGGGTTAGATCTGATATGTGAGCACAAATGCTCCTCCAGTGTACTCAATTCTGAGTTCTACACCGCCCAGAGAATCCTCATAAGAAGGGTGGAAGGTGGCTGGCACTACTTCGTTACATACAAATTTCGCGACGATTCTCGTAAGCTAGGAGATTACAGCAAGTTTGTGATCTTCGGCAATCTGCTGGATGTGAATATAATGTGAACCTACGCAGCATCAAGATTCTATGCCTATCCAACGTGGCGACGTCGGTGAGATAGTCCCCTGCTCTGATGCTGGTACCTCACGAACCGTACATATGTCTTGGACGATTCGAGGATTCCGGGTGGCTTTCACTACAACACCTATCTGTTTATCATTCATTTTCATTTTTCCATATCTTTGCCGAAAGTCGCGTTGATGTCGTGCGCACTGCGCAGCAGCCTGCTTTTTATCGCTCATCGGTATGCAGGTCTGCGTGTTGCTGCGCGATATCCAACTTTTTCACGAGCACACTCTTTCAACCCTTACTAGAGCTCGAGGAGCATTCAGGGGGAGCTTTAGCTGAGCACATCACCTT